AGTTTAAAAACCTCAGGTAATTGAAGCATCAGCCACGTCCCAATAAAGGACCTCCATGACATATAGCATTGCTTAGTTTAACATTAATTTTTCCTCTTCCATGACATGTTGGAGTATCCTAATATTATTTGGAGGATTTCCAACTAGACATCCCCAGACACAGCTTAGGCACAGCCACAAATTGGAGAAAACATGGACCACTTGGGCCTAAACCTCTCAGACTTGACCAAATGCATTAAAATACAGGATAGCTTTTTGTTTGTTTTTGCTTGTTGTTTGTTGTTGTTGTTTTTCTGTCTAGTCAATTGTGAAGCAAGTAATCTCCAATAAGAGTTTAGAGAGATTTGCTATGGGATGAGATCATGTTTATCAGAGAATAACATAATGTACGTTACGGGCAACATTTAGGTCATAGAAAAAAAAAAAAAAAAAAACTTAGCCCAAATTAAACCCTGAGAATTTATCATGGACAAAACAATAGACTATGAGTGATACAATCACTATGAGTGATGCAAATGTGTGTGTAGTTTCTGAATTCTAGGAAATCACAAACTAGTCAATGATGCAGATATTTGATAATGGTGTCCAGAAATAATGTCTTGATGTAAAATATAACAATAGGGGTATTAGAAACAGTGATCTGGAAGTAATCCTTCATAATGTTAAACATGGACTAGATCTGAAAGGGTGGTAGAACTCTCATGGGCAAATATGTAGCAGCAGACATAGAGGAAAAGCTAGAGTCACAAAAGACATCTGGATACTTGTGGCTATTAAGAATGAATAATCAGGGGCACCTGGGTGGCTCAGTAGGTAAAGCATCCGGCTTCGGCTCAGGTCATGATCTCACAGTCCGTGAGTTCAAGCCCTGCATCGGGCTCTGTGCTGACAGTTCGGAGCCTGGAGCCTGCAGCCTCCTTCAGATTCTGTGTGTCCCTCTCTCTCTGCCCCTACCCTGTTCATGTTCTGTCTCTCTCTGTCTCAAAAATAAATAAAACATCGAAAAACCTTTTTAATTAAAAAAATGAAAAGAATGAAGAATCAGCAACAGAAGTGATTTCAAACATGCAGGGAATAAACTGTGAAATGCTCTATATATCTAGCAGGTGAATTTGGAGATTTTGAATCTTTAAGGTAGTAACAGAAAGGAGGAATGGTAGGAAAACAGTTAGGATGGAGGTATGATGAAAAGATCCCAACTTGGAAGAAGAAAAAAATGGATCTAGAGAGGGGAGGTTTTTAGACAGTAACAAGTTGTATAGTTGGGATGCAAACCAGGGTGAGACTAAATCAAAACTCCTATTCCCTCTATCATATCCATATCTATCCATATCTTTGTCTTCAAGGAACTTTGTCACACAACTTTTACAGAACCTGTGACTATGTCTTTTCTCACTTCAGATGATTCAGACAAGATTCTACTTCTAATAAGAATCAAACACAAAGCACATACAAATGCATATAATACATAAACATTGCAAGAATGTAGTCCTAAAACACACGTTCAATACTTAATGTTTACAACTATATTATTTAAAACTGCAATATTTTATCATTCATCATAGATACTCTAGCAGTGTAACTGAGGACCTATAAGTTTTCTAATTTGCTGTTCTGTTCAGCATCCTGTGCTAACCACAGCAAGACACATTCTTTCTACAAATATTTTTTTTTAAATGATGGTATATTCTATTATGAAAAAGTTAATTATTGTAGATAATACATAAAATAAAGCAATTATTTTTTTTAAATATGAGGCACCTGAGTCTCTCAGTTGGTTAAGCATCTGACTCTTGATCTTGGCTCAGGTCATGATCTCACAGTTCCTGAGTTTGGGTCCTGCATTGGGCTCTGCATTGACAGTGCGAAGCCTGCTTAGGACTCTCTCCCCCCACCCCCCTTTTTTCTGTCCCTTGGCCACTCATACTCTCTCTCTCGCAAAGTAAATAAACTTTATAAAAATAAAAATAAATAAAATTCACCAAAATCACCTAGAAATTTGATCTCCTAGAAAAATCTCCCTTTAATCTGTATTTAGTCATTTATATTATTTAATGCACACATAAGGACAATAAACAACATTTGAAAGCATTTTCTTCATTCTAACATTCATAAGAAAGTTAAAATAGCAAAAAGACTCCGTGTCTAAAGATATGACAAGGAAATAATCATATTCAGTTGAAATGCTTGGTTTCAAAAGACAGTTTCAATTCTGATATGTAAAGAACTAAGTGTTCATTATTCTGATCCTTACAATAAGAAATAGCTGTATAAAACTAAAATCAACAATTTTTATTGGACTTACCAGAGAAATGAGTTTGCAAGGTAAGCTGCCACCCCAAAGTTTGGAGAGATAGGTGCATACAGTCGAAATCTGTTTACGTGGAACAAAATCCTGGAAGCCACTCACCAGAGGAGCACTTGAATTGCTGGAGGCTGAGTGTGGACTAGTGTGTGAGTTAGAAAGTTTAGGATATCTGCAGTCTTGGGAGGAGGCTTGCTTTAACAGACTTTACCTCCAGGAACCCAGCAGGTTCTCACAGTGAAGAGAAAAGAAAAAGCCCCTAAGGCTTATCTCCAGGTGATAAGACTTTAAGAGAGGTTTAACTCACCTGGAGATCCTTAAAGGCATTTATCCAGCTTCAGCTAGATCAGATCTTTCTACCACTTGTAAAAGAAGGAGTAGGGAAGGTAAGTAACACCTGTGAAGGCGGCGCTCTAGCCCAAGGAAAAAGATCCACCAAAAGAATTCAATTTAATCACAAGATGATAAAACTTTCCCTCTCCTACACCTTCCTATCACATCAATAGGACTCTAGTGTAAATACAGTGGATTACAGCTAACAGAACTGCAAGGAATGCTCCCTAAAGAGTTCTTAGGGGAGAACAAGCACAACAGAAGAGGCAAAAAACAAGACCAGTAGACCTACAGCTACAACAAATCTTGTAGCCCAAGTCTTTGCAATTAACCCCAATTAACCTCAAATGACCCCAATTATCTTCAGACAAGAGGCATTTTATCTCAGTTTCTACTTTCTGGTACACTGTGTCTAGCTTTTAGAAAAAAGAAAAAAAAAGATACAAAGAAATTTAAAGATAAGAAGACACATTCTGAAGAGACAAAGCAAACAACAGAACCAGACTCAGATATGACACAAATGTTGGAATTATAAGACAGAAAGTTTATTTTATTTTTTATTAAAAAAATTTTTTTTAAATCTTTATTTATTTTTGAGAGATGGAATGTGAGCAGGGGAGGAGCAGAGGGAGAGGGAGACACAGAATCCGAAGCAGGCTCCAGGCTCTGAGCTGTCAGCACAGAGCCCGACACAAGGCTTGAACTCACCAACTGTGAGATCATGACCTGAGCTACCCAGGCGCCAGAAAGTTTAAAGTAATTGTAATTAACATATTAAGGACAGAAAGTTTAACATAACTGTAATTAATATATTAAGGATTCTAGTGGAAAAGGTAGACAACATACAAAAGAAAATATGCAATGCACTCAACACCCTAACCTGTTTCTTTACCTCACGTCAACAGAATTCACTTCAGTCACCTACTCCCACCGCCTTACTCTCAGCGAGAGTTTCTCATCATCTTGTGCCATGTATTTGTGTCATTATTAAGATACAGTGTATCGCAGATATTAATTCCTTCAGTTACAAGGGCAGCTATGTGGGACTGGATGAAAGAAACCCCATCTGTTGACCTCAGCTTTCATGTACAGTATATGTTTTCATTTTGTATCTATGCCCTGAATAGAAATACTTGGGAAGCAATTACTTAACATTAACTGCACCACCTCCCAACATTGATTTCAAACATCCTACCTCAAACTAGATTCTCACCTGCTCACATATTCTAAATAACCTCCCTAACAATTTTTAATTCAGCTGAATCCACTTGCCAACAGACACCATGTGCCTGCTTTCCATTAGCCTTCTATCCTCACTACTGTCCCTACTAGACAAGATACTAGGGTCTGACACTGTGATCACTTCCTTGAATATATCCAGAGTGGTCTAGTTCCACTCTCCTTTTTTGTTCATCCTTTACAAAATTTCAGCCAAGACTCAAAATAGTTGAGCCTGGCTAAAAGAAAAAGATAAAGCCAAGCTCACATATAGCCACAATTGCATATGGTTCTCCTCGCTTAGCAATCTTACTTCATTTCCCATTTCATTCCTCATTCAATCATACACTTTTTGAGTTGACTGCACCACACCTTCTTTTCTCTACTCAAAACTTCCAACTCCCTTCCCTTATTATCTGCTGTTTTCTGTTGCTTTTTAAATTGCTGAATGATCAAAAGGTATTAGAAGTGATCTCAATTTTATTCTACCAACTACAGTAGCCAATCAGGAATCATGTAATTTCATTTTGCTTTTTGTAATTATTGTTTTGTCTCTGTATTAATTTCCTAGAGATGCCATAATAAAGTACCAAAAATTGGATTGCGTAAAACAACACAAATTTGGGGCACCTGTGTGGCTCAGTCAGTTAAGCATCTGACTTTGGCTCAGGTCATGATCTTGCAGTCTGTGATTTGAGCACTGCATCAGATTCTGTGATGAGAGCTCAGAGCCTGAAGCCTGCTTTGGACTCTGTGTCTCCCTCTCTCTACCCCTCCCCTGGCTACCACTCTGTCTCTGTCTCTGTCTCTCTCTCTCAAAAAAAAAAATAAACAATAAAAACAAAACAAAACACAAATTTATTATCTCACAGTTCTGGAGACATGGAACTTGAATATATCTTTTGAAGAACAAAATTCAACTAATAACAGCTTCTAATAAGGAACATTACTGTACTTTTCATTGCATTCCAACATCTCCCCTCCCTGGCTCTTAGAGCATATCCAAATGGAATCATACATAGTAAGAGCCATTATAAAAATTTTGATGTAAATATCACCTGTTAAATACTCTCCCTTGACACCATCTATATCAACAACTATAACCCAATTACAACCTCTTATCCTCACCAAAATTTTTAGAAACATTTTCTTATTGTAATCTGTCTCTACTTTAGCACCTCCTATTCTGTCATCAATTCTGACAAAGTAGATATTTTTTTCAAACACTATCCCAAAACTGCTTTGTGTGTGTGTGTGTGTGTGTGTGTGTGTGTGTGTGTGTGTGTATAACTTAATTTCCCTTTTCTGAACTCAAGGCACACCATTGTAACAGTTCTCCATTCTCTTCTTGTTTTGATTCACTCTATCTTTAGGTAATTGTACCTATCTACATTCCCACTCTATTGCATTCTAGATTTATATAACCAGTCCTTAAACAGTCCTAGAGTTCAATTCTGTAAGTGTCTCAATAATAGCATATGCAAAATTAACCTTTCATTTCTTCTATAAATTTCCAAATTTTCCCTATTTCATCAGTTGAAAACTATTGTCTCAGTTACTTAAGCCCTATTAAAGCCAGATAGGATTAATATTTGTAAAATAAATCATATAAAGTAGTTATCATAGGAAAACCAGTGAAAAAGAGATACAGAATATCTTTTAAAAGTTGGAAAAACAAATAAGAGCATTACATTTAAAAATGTACAAAAATCTCTTATAGCCAATTGTTCATCTGAAACATGGGAAGTCAGAAACCAAAAGATAGAACAGAATTTGAAATAAATAGAAAAAAATAATTTATCTATTTTTAAAATTAGACTGTTATTAAGAACGCTCCCTCAAAAAAAAGCCTTCCCTCAAATAAAATTCAGCACAAGATGAGTCACTGATGAAAACAATTACAGAAGGAAGCTACCAATCTTATATAATTAGATCAATTGAATATCCACATGGAAAAATAAAATGCAATATACAATACACAGGAATAAATTGCACATGGATTGTAGACATAAATGGAGGAGATAAAGCAGTTTCTTGCTGACACCATCAGAAAGGATGTTCTTTATTTTGAAGAGGGGTGAGTATAATATATTTTGACAGGGCCCAGAAATCACTAACCACAGAGGAAAAAATAAATAAATAAATAAATCAAATTTTATAAAATGAAGGTCACAGTCATCAAAACACACTCATAACAGAGTAAAAGGCCAGTTAAATAATGAGAGAAGATATTGGGATACGTTTGTCAGAGAAGGACTCATAATAAATAAAATAATAAAACTTCTAAAAATAAATAAGAAAATTAAATTAACCTCGAAAATTGGCAAAAAAAAAATAAATCATTCTTCAAAAAACATTCAAAACTCCAAAAAGCAGACTGGAGAAATACAAATTAACACCATAATGAAATGTGATTAAAAATCCCAGAGTATGAATAGAAGTTATAGAAGTTCTAAACCTTGGGGTTCCTGGCTGGGTCAGTCGGTTAAATGTCCGACTCTTGGTTTCCACTTGGGTCATGATCTTATGGTTTCTGTACTGGTGGCACAGACCCTGCTTGGGGTTCTGTGTCTCCTGTCTCTCTGACCCTCCCCCACTCATGCTGTCTCTGTCTCTCAAGTTATAAGTTAAAAAAACTTATAAAAAATTTCTAAACCTTTCCCATGCTGCTGGTGGAAGCATAAATTAGTACAGAAAGTATGGAATACTATTTGTCAGTATCTATTAAAGCTAAGCACACACAAGCCCTGCCACTCACTAATTGCCCCACCAGGTATATGTAAAACCAGAATACATCAAGAAGTATAAAATAGTATATGCAGTGGCATTGGAACTGTGTCTCATAGGGTTAATGAGGTTCAAACTAGCAGAACGTTTAAATCTTGTTTTTCAGATCACTGTTTCCCCCAATCACCTATTGTGCTTTTTCATACCCCACTAAAAAATCCACTAGCTGTCTCTGCCGAAGTCTGGACTCAACGTCAACTGTTAGGCTCCAGCTGATGAACAAGCAAGGTCCTGCATTCCTTTCCCAAGTTAATGAGACCAAGACCCCATCCAGTTTATACCAGCTCTTGGAGCATGCTCATAGCTCTCTCTTGTCTTAAGATAAACTCCTGATATCAGGGACTGAATGTTGCCTTGTTCTGTTGTTAAGCCTCCACCCAAGTGAACATAGGAGGTATGTTACATATATGCTTGCTTAATGTGCACACTCCATCTGCCCTCATGAATAGTCATGTCTCCTCCCTCTTTTCATCAATATGTATGCAATTTCAACCCCTATGATTATAAAAAAAAAAAATGTTCTCTTTCCCTTTGGGGAAGCAAATTTGAGGCTCGTCCTCTCATTTCTTTGTTTGCCTCTCAAATAAACCCTTTCCTTGCTGCATACTTGATGTCTCGGTGATATGCTTTGCTGCACATAGGACAGATGGATTTAGCTTTGGTTACAGCATTATTCATAGTAGTCCCAAACTGGAAACACTCTAAATGTCCATCAACATTAGATTGGGCTAAAGAAAATGTGTTGTATATAACAATGAACATGAGCCAATTACTGTAATACTCAACAACGGATGAACATCACCATCATAATATTTTGTGAAAGAAGCCAGCCACAAAAAGCAAACATTGTAAACTTCCTTGTGATTGAAATTTAAAGTCAGCAAAAACTAGTCTATCATGATAGCAGTCAGAATATTAGTTATTTCTGGTATTAATGATTATTAGAAGGAATAATAATAATAATTATTATTAGAAGGAGCCTTCTGCATTGTCAATAACGTTATATATGTGGTCTGATAAAACAGATATAATTTCTATCCTCACTTTTCAAATAAAGAAACTAAAAATCGCAGGTATTAAGTTAGTTACCCAGGTCATTGCACCAGTGAATGAAGAATACAGGAGAAGGCAAAACCTGATTTGTTTTTTTTTGGGGGGGGTGGGGGCACAAGTGAGCAAGGAGCAGAGAGAGAGAGAGAGAATCCCAGGAGGGGCAGAGGGGAAGAGAGAGAGAGAGAGAGAGAGAGAGAGAGAGAGAGAGAGAGAGAAGTGGGGCTCACCCAAAGAGGAGCTTGTGTTTTACCTGAAGCCAGGCGCGTGCTTACCAGAAGTGGGGCTCAACCTCACAAACCAAGAGATCATGACCTGAGTCAAAGTCAGATGCTTAATGACTGAGCCACCCAGGTGCCCCCAAACCTGATTTTCTGATTTTAACTGTTGGACTTGTGGAAATACAGTCTAGGTGCCTCTATGGAAGGGGTGGTAATTCTGAGAGGATGATTTGGGAAATAAAATTGGTGGAGCAGAAGCCTATCTGATTAACCAGAACATTCTACTCCAGGGACCGTACTCAATAGTAGGTTCCTCTTTACCAACCTAGAGTGATGAAAACATTAATTTGGTATTCAGTGATTTCCAATCGTAGAGTCTCAGAAGCAAGCTATAAAGCATCTTTCAATAATGTGGGAAAACAGATGAAGAGACAGTGAGGATGGCTTATATCATTACTCAGGAGTACAGGAAAGAAAATCTTATAAGCCACTGCCCTACAAACATATTTCCTTGTCTCTGCAAAAATACTGTTTCCCTAATAAAGGTTGACACTTAGTCAAGTGTGCTTGTTTTATAATGGCAATGTGAGCTCTGATTTTAGATCACTGCAGATGTTTTGAATTGTTGAGTATACAAGTCCTAGAAAAATCTATACTGCAAAAGCAAACATTTTAGCTAAAATTACTGTATTTTTCCTTTTCTTGAAACTCATATTGTGCTTCGATCTATTTCCATTTTAAAGTCTGTTTGATAAGGCTATGCTTTACTACATGCATAATTACAAATGGATGCTTAGTGAGAATGTAGAAAGCAATGGCAACCTGGGTTTAACCCACCCAGAGAAAGTTTCTGGACAAACCCATTACCCTTCTATCAATGTCCATTTCAGTGCCTTTAACATAATTGTTTCAATTTCTTTCAATTTGCATAGCACTTACTAGTCAAAGTACTTTCCACTCACTTTCTCAGGTTGTCCTCAAACAATCCAGTGAGGCAGGTAGAGGAATTAACACTATCACCAATTTGCAGATGGAATCACTAAGACACAGAGCAGTAAAGATCTCAGTGCTAGTTAGTAGAAGCACGGGGAAGAGAAGCCAGGTCTCCTAACTCTCCAGCCCATGTCTTCTTTTTAAAACTATGTTGGTATGCATGACCGGGGAGTAAAATGAAGTGAGCAGTGAGCCACAGCTTTGGTAGAGGCTCTGCCTATAAATGAAGATCAACATCTCTAAAAGTTAAAATAAACGTAAGAAAGCATGACTAACATATTAATAACACTCAAACAATTGCTCTGAACAGCTGAGCACCAAACTTCCTATGGAAACTCAGGCTATATGACCTTTTATGCAGCTAGTTTCTGCATGCCCAGCTACTGGTAATATCTATAAATTAGCTTCAGTTGAATTACCAACTCTCAGGAGCTAAAATTTCTAGTCAGGCAGATTGTCTTCAACGACTTTCTTTGGAGCTAGTCCTACAAACAAGCTATTACAGAAATATTCATCTAGTGACTTGTGGGCTGGAACTTGGCCTTTCTGATCCTCCTGGTCTCACTGGCTCACCCAGTGGGTGGTATTTTCTATGCAGCCAGAAATGAATGGACAAAAGTAAGAACAGAAAGCTGGCCTTGTTCAAATCAAGAAGAGTCACCATCATGACATTAATGTTATCCTTAGGTGCCAAGACCAGGATGCTGTCTGCCAGGTTTACTTTTCCACTTTAAAGTTTTGACTTAAGTTATGATTATAGCCCATCACCTACAATAATGACCATCTTTCTGAATACCTGCTTGCTTTAAATAAAAAAGACAAAAAAACCAAGAGAAAAGATAATGTTTTTATTCTTAAGAGAGAGAGAAAAAAAGACCTTCTACTGAGTACAAAGTTCATCTTTTGAGATTTAAATTTGCCAATTGAACAGAGAATTAAAAGAATGGTATCACTTTTGTTCATTACTCAAATTCAAATCTCAGTGCCCCTTCCCCTCTGAAGCCTTTCTCAAGTCTCCTAAGTATTGTTATTAATGCTCTATTGTAACACATTGAATGCAACAGCATATTTAGCATTTAAATACATTATTGTAATTAAATGTTTAC